TTATTATAAAAATAACGAGATATTTTAAAAAAACTTCATGTGACACGAATTTCGAATTTATTTTCACATATAGAAAATCAATTGATGTGACATGTCCTGTGACTATTATATACTAAAATTGCCCAAGAGTAATTTTCCCATCTTCAATGATTATGTTGCTTTCACCTCTTAATAATAATAATAATAATAATAATAAATATACTAACCATTTCGTCAATTCTCCAACTATTCAATTGTTTATAATTACCCGTATAATGTAAAAGACATAATAAACTTCGCTCCACATTAATGTCAATAAGATATTATTACCTTAGTAAAATGTTATCAATCCCCGATTATTAATAAACAAGACATCTTCTTCAGAACATAATTTCCAAAAAACATGAATGTCTGATTAAATTTTTTGTACAACACTACACATCCTTTAACTTTCTTCCTTGTATTTACTACTTGGACCAAAATCAAGGCTAGCAAAACCTTCTATTGAATAATGAAAATCAAGAAATTGTGATGCCACAACAATAATAAATTATTTTTATTAGAGTTAGGATTGGAATTTTACTTTATCTATTTTAAAGGATGAAAGTAAAGGCTCATTCAATTTCAGATCTGATGACATCAATATACCAATATGTTAGAAATCAGAATAAAAATAAGCAAAATTTATATTGTAAATTATTATTCATCACATTAGTGATTTAATTAGGACGGGGATTCTGGATTTAAACGAGAAAATAAATCACAGCTGGCTCGATTAATACCCATTTAGAAATATTTTTTTCCTCCTAATTTTTGTGTTCTAACAAGCATAGAAGATTTTTTAATTTTCACGGCTTAATGTATTATTGTTGTTCTTCCAATCCCTGTGAAATATTTGCTAATCCCATCCATAGAAAAAACAAGATCTATTGACATTAATATGAATTCGATTCTGTTCCTGAATTAAAATAACTACCCAAATTGTAATAACGCTTTCACCAACCTTCTCTCAAAAAATTATTGGCTATATTTAGATCTGATGTATTTGTTGTAATTTCTAACGCACATCTGCCAACTAATCTCTGCAGATTATTTTTGGCTTTGAATTTCAAAAAAGTATCTGGTTCTTTAACTTAAAATCATGCTTGCAAGCTTTAGCCTGTATGTGGTTCACTGGAAATCACAAAGTCCTTGCCCTTTGAGGTATAACCATTATCCTAGATTCTCTTCTAGTGATCCTCCCCTTCCTTCCGAGTATTTAAAATCAAGTTGCTTAAATTGAAAACTTTCACATTCCGAAATGTATATTTACTATAATGTGAGAGATCGGTGGGAAATTGAGCCTGACGATTCACTTCACTTATATATTCTCCGGTTAAACTATCTCCTACTCCAACATGTTAGTTAGAGTTGCTGCATTCACACTATAAATATAAATATAAATATAAATATTATGGAATGAGAAGGGAAATGACAATTAATATTAATTAATATGCGGGTATTTTTCTTTAATCCTCATCCTTTCTATTCTTTTATTGTATTTAGTTTAACTTTATTCTAAAGGTAAAGGTAGAAGGGCAAATAATTCAACGGCTGCCTGTTGTCATACAACTAATTATGATACGATCTCACACTACCTAGACAACGTAGAAAAGTTGCAAATACACATGGCTTAATAGCTGGAAAAAGTGAAGTTATTGTCTTAATGAAATTGGGTGGATGAAGAAACTTGAGTTGAGATGAGAGAGCTTTTGTAAAAATGTATTCAAGAAGTTAGAGAGAAACCGGATATATACTAGGAATTTTGCAATTTACTTTTTTGGGGAAAATGAGTGGTCCACCGCAAGTGGATATCTCAGGATTGAAAATGCATCTTTTGTCGTTTTGGAAAAGAAAGGCTTATTTACAAGAAAGTAGGACATAGATCAAGAGAATAAATAACTAATGGGATTATGCAAAAGAAAAAGACAGTACTTGTCTAATCTACAATTTACTCCAATTATCTTATATAAAGGATATTGAATATTAAAAAATAGGAAATGAAAATAAAACTACTGATATCAATCACACATTACACGATAAATCGAAATTGTAAATATATATATATAACAATCTCGATCTTTTTTTAACATTGTTTATTAGAAAATAAAAATAAAAATATTAATTCCTATCTAACCCCGTAATAAATGTTAATTATATTCGCTTGAGTCGGCTGTTCACCGTTTGTTTCTTTCCGGTCAATCCGAGTATTAATTATAAAAATGTTTGAAATTAATATTAATTTATATTATTCTATTTAAATATTTAAAAAAAGTTATTGTGATTGTTGTCCTTCCGTGAGGGCTCTTCTTTCTTCATAAGTTATATAAATAATTTTTCCAAATATTTATTTGGTTGGTATAGGCTGATAAGGATTAGTTGTAGATAATGAGTATTTTTGATAAGCTGATGCGACGATCATAAAGAATATTGCAGATATAAAAGTGAGCCAGAATGCAGCAAATAAAATTATTATGAATTTTGGAGAACAACGCAACCAGTGACGCACACGAAGTTCGAATTTATTTTCGTTGAAGGAAGCGGAGGAGTAGCCTTCAATCAATATTTTTTCAACTCTTTCTACTTGTATAACTTGTAAACTGTCGACCTCTATAGCAGTTATGGATATTATTATACAATTAATTGCTATATCGTCAATATTTGTTGCAAGTGAATGTATCGAAGAACTTATTTTAACAGTTATGTCATAACTATCAAAGTGGTTATCAATTTCTTCTTTACTAATATCAGTTGGAATGGATTTTGCTTTGATCACCTTCGATTAAAAAATGATGGATGATCATTAAAAGAATTTTTCTATTAACCGCAAACTAACTTACACCAATTTACCTGAAGTGATGTAATTCCCAGTTTTAATGTTGAATTATTTATTATTATTAATTCATTATCTCCCACTTTTAAATCAATTACAATGGCTGAATTATTTTTGAGTCTTACATCTGCATAATTAAAAGGAATAACAAATCTTTCTTTTGTATGAAACTTTATTGGTGATCGTGATTGTATTAATGGTGAGACATCTTTAGTTGGTGTAGATTTTGCTAAATCTGTTATACAGAAAGAAAAGGAAAATATCAATTTGTAGTTTTCTGTATAAAATCAATTAATCAGTGATAGATAATTAATTACCAATCGTAAAGATGAAGAGGAACACTAAAAATAATAAATTAAACGACTTTGGTGAAGACATTTTTTCATACGAGGTTGAGTTTACCAAATTTTGTTTTTTTTTATTATAAAAAATATTATTATTATGTGAAGATAGTTAAATTATATAGCAAAAACCCGGTAAACTAAAAATAGTACACGATGAATCCTCTTTATTTAATAGACAAGAAATTTGTCTGCTAAATCGAGATACCCGTAAAAGCATTCTGGATGTACCGTAAAAATCACGTGATATTCTCTAAAAAATATTCGATTTATAAAAAAAAAAAATAATAGAATCATAAAATCCTTCTGAACTATTATATTAATATAAATCTTTATGTGGAATTTCACTCTTTAATCTATTGACATTTTATTAGAAGTTATATAATTTTTTGTTGTACATATTTGAACGCTTCTGCTCTATAAAAATATACGGAAAACATCCTAAAACGGAAAAATTACAAAAACCAGTGTTCCTATTAATGATGTCAACCGGCCGAAAAAAAAATCGGCTAAAGAGTTTTAAACGACTTAACTGTCTGATAAATTTCCTCCCCTTTTTGTATGATAAAAAAATATTCTCTCGACTCATTCATTTCATTACTTAGAATGACAAGAAAAAAATCTACCACTAATTTGCTCCCATATCGTAACAGAATAAAATATAATAACAATGAATCATTAAATAATCACAATGACGGCGAATTAAGAGATATAATATTATTATTAGTAAATAATAGTAATAATGTTAGTAGTAGGTATTATTACTACTAATGTAATATAATGATAACGAACCATTAGGTAATAATAGTTGTGGTGGACCCTTTGATCACGAATGGGATATATATCTGACAGTGATATAAAAGATTTCTAATATATACACTATTTTCATCTGATGTTTTGGATAATACTAGTTTACATTCCTGTTTCAGTTCAATTTCAACTAACTCAAATAACGTTCAACATATGATAGTTGGACATGCAAATATTTTGAGAAAAACCATGTATATAGAAATTTGTGAAAACATATTCATAATGTCCTTTTTTTTTTCTTAAAGAAAATTCAAAACTTTTGAGTGATTTTTATTTAGATTTTGTTAAGACTATTATTTTTAGTGAATTCGTATACTAATATTGGTCGCCAAAACTATTTTGAAGAGGAGAAAGTCAAAACTAAATCAAAAACTCGCACAGTTGCGAAACTCTATAGTTTTGGAAACTCAAAAATATTATTTGTCTAATAATGATAAAAGTTTATCCATCCTACCGGCTGATTCTTATTCGAATATTCGAAATTTATTATTATTATTATTATTATTATTATTATTTTACGAATATTCGAATATTTGACATCAATTTCGAATATTAATATCTGATATTCGAATAGTAATAGGAACAGAGTATATACTGGTTTTCCGTAATTTTTTGTAATTTCGTTTTAGTATGTTATTTTTTATAGGGGTGTACTAATCATCATTGATCCAGGTTCGTTATTTTATCTTCTGATTGTCTTTTTACTAATAGTTCGATACTAATTGGCATCTTCTTTGAATCTTCCACTTGATTCATATAATTCATAATTACAATATTTACATCTTGTACGTTCTAACCAGGCAAATTTCCACATTATATTTTTTCTCCAATTTTTGTTAGATCAAATTTCTCCATGTGCAAATGCATGATTTCCAGAAAATTACGTGCACATTATACGCATTTAGATTGGGAAAATTTTTATAGGGAAATAAGATTTTTTTCAAGATTTCTTTGCCTTTAAAGACATAGCTTGGTTTATCCTTAATGATCTCTTTTCCCCCTCAACAATTTGCAATCGAACCTTTTCCTCACCAAGTGATCCAACAATACTTCTTGTTCCCAAATCCTCAAGGCTCCTTCATCCCCTCCCAGGTCAATGATCACATTATCATCATCATCATAATCATAAACACAGCTTAAATTTAACGGAGGGTCTGGTAACAATATATCAAACTCTGTAAAAATTTATGGTAATGTGATGGATCTGAAATTTGCAATTTGCTGATCCTCTAGAATAATCTTCTCATATTCCTCATCAGATTCATCAGGCTCATCAGGCTCATCTTCATCTTTTCTACCACATACACTACCAACAGCCTCTGCTCTTCCAGCCCTCATTTTTCTATTGTCATAATAATCATTAACCGAAGCAGACATTTCGTTACCATCCCATTCATTTACCCAATGACCAGAGATAAATCAGGTGTTAATAAATTCAAGGTTAACGATTCAAAAAAAACATACAATATTCAAATTACCAGAAACATGGCCATTCCCATTTTCAGGCAAGTTTTGATTATTTCCTATATTTCTTGGAATTTTATTTGGATGATATACTTCTTCAGGCTCATCATACCGTTGTTTAAAATTTCTATTGTCTTGATAATTGTTATTATTGTTGTTGTTGTATTGAGTAGTTGCTAAAAAAAATCCAATAATAATAGTATCTCTGCCATCATCACGATTTGAAGAGCTTGTTCAGGGCAATCTCCACAATTGTTGTTACCACCACCACCACCCACCTTTATCCCGATGTTTATCATTACGATCATTATCTTCATTCTTGCTGGAATTCTTGAATTGTTGGGACTGTGAAATAAATCCAACCTGTAGTGAGACTCTAATAAAAAGGATTCTTGAGTCAGTATTATTGTTTTCGTAAGCTTTGTTCATGCCACCCAATGTGAATTTATATATTTGTTATCCTCTAAAAATAAAATAATAGTGATTAAGTCAATACTTTTTTTTTTTTTAAAAAAAAAATTGCCTCTGTCAAAATCCTCTGTTGATCAAATCAATAAATGTCAACACAATTCCATGATCTTTTATCATTGATGAAAAATATCACAAATATTTTTTTATTATTTTGGCTTTTTAAACAAAAATAAAATTGTGTTTATTGAAGGATTTGTAATTTGATTGGTTTGATTTTCCTTACCCCGAGAATTAGTGAAGTGGTGGCGTTTTTTTATAAGGTTCAAACACAAGGTAGAATTATTTATTTTGTTTGACGCCAATCAAAGAAAGGTTCACAAAACGTTGTCTTTTGAATGTGAATGGTTTTTTTTTTTTAATGGGTGAACGATGCAATATGACAATCCCTTAATTACATAGTAATAGCAATAGAGGAATAGTTCCAAATATGTATGTAGCCCCCCTGAAAACCTTCCATATTAATTAATTTAATATAATGTTTGTTCCATATAAATATAAGTGGATAATCTACCAACACGAAAAAAACATTCATCTTGTTTTGGCAATTTTTTAATGTTAAATGTTAATATTAAATATTTAACGTTAATTATCAATATTAACATTAAGAATTGTGCATTTCTTATTTGCTTAATGGATTATTTATTAGTTTAACATTCTAATATTAATATTAATATTAATATCAACTATAACCATAATTCTGTTACACCAACTTAATTCCGTTCCTTCTTAATGGTTAATATTAATTAATAAACGATGGGAGTGTGTTTAAGCAAAACCACAAACAAAAGAACAAAAAAGAGCAAAAATAAAAGTAAAAGTGAAAATAACAATGACGAATATTCGGATGAAAGAGATGAAAGGTATGGTAAATGTTCAAGTTGTAAAAGATACAACACATACCATTCGTGGTGCCAAAAATGTGATCCGCAATTATTAACAAAAGGTTGGTCCAGTGGTAATAAAAAAATCGACGAGATAATCAAAAGTACACAGATCAAAACACAATCATTCAACAATTTCAACTACCTTCAATGGATTCCTTTTGACGATCTAACAAATGTTGAAAAGATTGGTGAAGGTGGTTTTTCCACCGTGTACAAAGCCACTTGGTTGAACGGTAAAAGATCGGTTGACGAGAGAAAGCGTATAAGATATTGTAAAGATATGATTGTAGCATTGAAAAAATTAAATAATTCGCAAAATATTTCAGATGGATTTTTACTAAAGGTATTTATATCTATATAATAATAGTAGATATTATTATTATTATTATTACTATTATTATTATAATTAATGTCATTACTTACTTATTTTTTATTTATTCGATTAGCTTGAAGAATATATCAAACTTCAAGATTACGCAATAGTTAAAATTTATGGTTTATCAAAAGATCCATCCACAAATGAATACATTTTTGTGATGCAATATGCAGAAAATGGGAATCTTCAACACTATCTACATGAAAATTTTACAATTATGAAATGGAAAGATAAAATATCCACTTTATATAATATCATTTGGGGTCTGCATTATCTTCACAGACAAAAGGCTATACATCGTGACCTTCATACTGGTAATATTTTAAAGATTGACAAGTATACTACTCTGATTTCAGATCTGGGATTGTCAATTCCAGCTAATCAAGATTTGTTATCAAATAGTAATACAGATATTAATGATGATGATGATGCTAAAATCAATGTTTATGGAGTGCTGCCATATATCGCTCCGGAAGTCTTAAGGAATCAACCATATATAATGGCATCTGATGTTTATAGTTTTGGAGTTTTGATGTCTGTGATTTCAACAGGTCAACAACCATTCAAAAATTTGGCACATGATGCTGCTCTTGCAATAGATATATGTAACAAGAATTTAAGGCCCGAGCTTTCAAAAAACAATACACCGAAATTTTTTATTGATTTAGCATGCAGGTGTATGAATGCTAATCCAGATAAAAGACCAACTTCAAGAGAAATTTTTGACATGATTTCATTTTGGCATAATTCATTTGACGGACATAAAATTAGTCATTATTCTAAAAAGAAACTCGATGAATTGGAATTAATTAGGAAAGAATTTGATGGATTGGATGATAATAAAATCACGATATTTGATTCAACAAACAATTTTCATCCAAAAGCTGTTTACACTAGTAGATTATTAAATTTTCATGCAGTTATTGGCAATATTAATGACAACAACAACGACGACGACGACGACGACAACAACAACAACAACAACAATGTTGATCACCAATTATCCAATCATTCTTTAGATTAAACCTTAAAAAACAATGAATTAAAAACATTCGTTTTTTATTTATATTTTACTATTTTTTTTTTTTTAGTTTTTTAGTTTTATGATTATAATAATCAACAATTAAACATATTATTTACAAAATTAGTTTAAATAAATAAAATAATTGATAAATTTAATTAAAAAAAAAATTAATTTAAATGGTTAATTTATACGAGTAATTGATTCTATTAATTGACACGTTAATTCCAAATTTTTTCTAATCTTGCTTTGAGATAAATCGCCTTTTATTGCATTATCTGACAAACTTTTAAACCCAATCTCATTTAAATAATACAGTTGAGTTCCTTTTAGTTTCTTTTTATATTCAGGTTCGGAAATTGCTGTAATAATAATTGCTTGTACTGAATCTATTATTATTGGTGAAATTTCCTCGTCCGATACAATGTTAATCATTCTAGGCAACAATGTTTCATACACCAGAGCAAAAACTTCTGGAACAATTTCTGCTGCTTCTGCTAAAAATCCATATAAAAACAATTTTTCGGTCTCTTGTTCCGCATAACTTAACATTGCTACCATCAGTGATACTAGTAACAAAGCTGTTTGATTATCTGGTATATCAATTTTCTCAAAAATCTTAAAAGTCGGCTCCGAGTTGTCTATCTCTATATCATTTGCGCCCGACAACAACAACAACTCTTTCATGTCAACGTTATTGGCCGATAACGGTAAAAGAGCTGCCATATATCCTAATAAATTTGAACGGATTGTCGTTTTGTTATTGTGAACTCCAGTTTTTGATGCTATTTCCAAAAATGATATTAATACATTTTGTGTTGCAACTCTTGTTGCTCCATTTTTCAAGCATCTCAAAAGTGTAGCAGCCACTGCAAATGAAAAATGCTCATAATTAACACCGGATATCTCGTCTAATCTTTCGGTAACAGATTCTAACGATCTTCTTGATCTCATCAAAACTTTATCAAACCCCTCATGTATAAAAAATCCTTTACTATCCAACGAATACAATACAGAGTGTAATAGTCCTAACGCACTTTGGAAAATTGGAACATGGCCTATTTGTATAAGAGCCATCGCCAACCAAAACATTTTTTGGAGATAACGTGATTCAATTGGTAGATTTTTTACAATATTGGTAAGACACATCAGTATGCTAATGACTAGTAAGCAATCTTCTTGATCAAATTGATTCAATGCCCCCTTGAGTGCTACCAATATCTGATACAAAAGATCATCGTCTACCTCTTCATGTGCAAGACATCCTAGTGCTACAAATGCTCTTGGTTGTATCGCAGGATTATATTGAAATGCTGTACTTGTAATTAATCCCATCCAACGTGCTCTCCATGAATTTGCTACATCTGTTTATGATTTTGAGGAAAAAAATTTGTTTCAATTAACATATATAATAAACACACATGGACATACATTTATCGAATGACACATACCAATCGAGGGTGCGCCATATTTCATTACTTCCAATAAAGTTTGAATAACATTTTCCAATGAATTTAATGGTAAGTTATCACTTAAATTATCTGTTGATTTTGTTGATATATCAAAAGCACCATTTCCTGGTGAATTAGTCAATCCGAAAAAAAATCGATGTTTTGGTTCTGACAACTCGGTCAGCAACAGTTTTAGAAATTTACGGTTTTCATTGTTATCACTATCAGATGACGGTGTTGTGCACAAACTCTGAACCAGATTGACAATAAGTCCATGAATTGATGCTCGTATAAGCTGTGATCCAGTTGATACCAGTAGTGATACGATGTGGAATAATTCCGGGAGGTGAACGGATATGTGTTGAAGATTGTTGAATGAGAGCATCAGGTTGAATCGAATCAAAACAGAAATATCAGTCCAGGATGGATTGTCTTTTAGGTCTCTGCTTGGTTGTAAAGATGTTTTTGATATAACCCTTCGAAGCCTGGAAATTATTTTACCACGAACACTAATTGATGATAACGTGACTATTGTGTTTGCCACTGTTTCTGATTGTATTGAACCAATCCCATGTTCAACTGCATATGCAATAAATTCATCTATAATTAAACTTGTCAGTTCATCTATACCTATCAATGTGCTCCAAATTTTAGTTTGAATAGCGGTATATAACTAGATCATTTTTTGCAAAAAAAAAAAATTTTTTTATTTTAGATAAATTAAAATACTATTGTTTTTTTTTTCTTTAAAATTATTTTAATTTACCTCGGTTTCTTTTGCAGTCAAATCAATCAACGATCGAATAATTTCTTTAGCTTTCAGAATAAATTGCTGATTATCAGGTCCATTTACTACATACAATGCTAAATTTTGTAACCAAGGCGCCATATACAAAAGACATAAATGTTTTTGTGGTATGCTTGATTTATTGAATCCAACAAAAAATTCAGTAAGAAATTCCAGCGTAAGACGTGCTTCATTTATTGCCAATCTTTGACTTAGTTGTACAACAAAATTTGTATTATTTACAGGAATACATAAACCTAATATAAATTGACAAGAAAATAATCAATATTCAATTATCAACATTAAATTACTGATTTATTATAATACGAATAAAAAGAAAATTTAAATTACCTTTAGCACTGAGTAAATGATTTCCAACATCAAAGTTAAATGCAAGACTTAATGCCACCAACAGATTATACGAAGTTAATCTTAAGTTTGGGTCTTCACTTCCAATATTTAACAATGCCATGTTTAGAAACGTGCCTGGTACACTATTTGGGGTAATTGTCCGTTCAGCATTTGGTGATGGTCTAGCTATTTGAAATCCTGCTTTAGATGTTCTTATTGCCTACAAACAAATATCGTAATGGATTATTATTACGCTTGATAATTATTATTATCATTATTATATAAATCATACCGCCGCTCTTGTCGATATTACTTACTTGCATAATTTGTTCACGTCTAGAACTTGAGAATGCTAACGAAGGTCTACCATTATTTTGTTTGATTACAAATTCACTGTCATCGTATCTATGTGATAAATTACTCACATCTTCAATTACTGATATGTGATAAACATCATTCAAATAGCAACTTAATCCGTTAAATAAATCCTGTTTTCTGTTCTATATAAAAAAAATTTTTTTTTGATTTTTTTTAAATACGAATAAAATATTAATCAATAAGAATGAAATAAGCATTATTCTAAATATCAAAATTAGTTAGTTACCGTTATGACTTGAATGTGCTCATTGCTCACTTTCATCGTACAATTAACTTGCATGCGATAGTGAGATATGCGACTAACATGGTTGAAAGAAGTACAATGATCTGTGTCCAATTGTGCTAATTATTTGTTTGTTTTTTTTTTTGGAGTGAGGGGGGAGGAATAATAACAATTATTATTATGTCAAATATTAGAATCAAATAAACAAAATAATTAATCAAAAAGTCTTGCCCAAAAACAATAACTTACTTGTAGTGCTTGGTAATTGAACTTCTGTAGGTAAAATATATTCATGAAGATCATTCAATGAACAACAAAAAACAATTTTTCTGGCCAATTTATTGGTGATAGGATATGCTAATTTTTTACAAAATTTTTTAAATGGTGAATTTGTATTGTAAAAATAAAGTGTTGCCAAATTTTCAATTACGTCCGATGGAAGAATTTGTATAAATTGTTGAACCCATTGTGATTGTATTTCGTTTGATAAACCAAATTGTGTCAAATCAAAAAGTATCTCGAATGGTCTATTCATACAGTTTGCGATTATCTGGTAAAAAAAAAATTTTTTTATATATAATATATTACTGATGATATCCCAACAACAAATAAATAACAATTAACTTACGTGAAGAACGTAGTACATCAAAAGTTCAATATCAATAGCTTCAGCGTCAACTCTTCGGGCAATATAATAAAAAACAGGTCTACGTTCTTTCGACACACCACCTCGATAAAACAATTTTTTAGTGGCAATTGGTTCCAAGTTTCGGTTCTCATAACGCTTCATAAATTCAGCGTATAAATGATTATTGGACTGATAATAAATAGCATTGTATCTCTTGAACTCCTTATTTGAATTGATATTTGGTGGATCTAATTGTGCTAACAATGTGGATATTCTGTCCCATTCACGTTTATTTTTTTGTGCTTGTTCCGAATCTGTTGCTATCGTCGGCGTTGTTGTTGTTGTTGTTGTCGCTGTTGTTGTTGCTGTTGTTGTTGTTGTCGTTGTCGTTGTTGCTGTTGTTGTTGTGCCAGATGTTGCTGTTTTAGATATGTTGGAAGCAGATGTTAATGAACTTTGCAGATTGTTTTTAACTCTACGAGTTTGTAAATCTCTACTCATCCTTTCTTGATTGTCATACAAAAGTTTGTGTAAAATTTTTTTATGAGCATCATCTAATCTACGCGGGAGCACATCATTTTCTCGTAATTCTTCAATTGAATATTCTTTTTGGGAAATTTCACGTAAAAATTCGTTAAATCTTTCAATATTAGACTCTAAAAATTTATTCATGTCAACCATATAGGGTTCTTTTGCGCCAAACCTTTTATTGTTGGCCAAATTTTGTATTACTTTAGTGGCTAACAGCAATATGCGCTTTATTCTTTCTTCGGTAATTGGTTTACAAAGATTTTTGGTATCTGGTGCAACTATACCTGGATTGAAAAATCTCAAGAATAAAAATGAACCAACTGTTGTTTGAGATGAGTCAGGAAATTTAGCGCCCACCGATTTAGATAGATGGTAACATACAGATTTAAACATTTTTGGTATTGTTGAAGAAGAAGCAAAGATGGCATCTAAAAATGATTGAGCAACCTCTTTTAAATTATTTAAATTTTTAACAATATTATCATCTGTAGTCATTCTTTCACGATCAATTTCACATCTGAAATTTTTTGGTTTTCGTAATAACATATTGAAAACTGGCTGAAGCGTCTCGCGCAAATACTCGTCACCGTAAATATCAGCAAAAGATCCCAACATTCTTGTCGCAATACTATTTCGTCGAAGCAAATCATAATCATTGAATGTTCTAGAAACTTCTTTGTCAAACATTGCTTTTAATAAAGGTAGTAAATTGTTACGAGAATCAAACGCGAGTACCAGCACCTCGGCAAGATTTTCTTGTTCTATAACTGGACAAACTTCACATAATGAAAGTGCAAAATCCAAATCTGGCCCTGTGAACACATTAACCAATCTTTCATAACGTTCTTTCATAGCATTCTCGGTCAATCCTTCGAATTCTACTCCTTGATTAAGAATATTTGTAAGAACCTGCATAAATGCTGTTCGTGTCTTTGAATCTTCGTGGTAGGCCATTGAAAGTGAAAATGTCAAGCCGGAATCAACATTTGCACTCAATAGGTTGCTAAGCGCCAAAATTGTATAATCTTTCAATGGTCCAAGATCTTTAACAAAGTCTCTTGACTATCATTTGTTATTTTTTAAAAAAAATAATATTTATTGAGATATTAATAATAATAGCAGCAATAATAACAATAAATTTCCAAAAACACGTACTTTTGATAATAGCATTTGTAAATCGTGATTATTTTTAGCCGAGTGTGTTCCAAGATCGATTGCCTATGCAACAATAATAAAAATTAATTTATATTATATTTATTATTATTAGCATTATTATTATTAAAACACCAACCTCAAGAATACGACAACGATTTAATAATTTAATAAAAAATGAGAAATATTTATAAAAAAGTCTAGATTTGGATCTGGCCAAATCCGTATTAAGATTTGTATCAGAAGGTTGTAGTGGAAGTTTATCCAATAGCGCAACTATGGTTTTTAGGCATGCTTGATCCAATTCTCGGTGCATTTTTTCATTTTTATTTACAGTATTTTCTAAACCTATAGAATTTTCATTCTTCTAATACAAAAAAAAAAAATACTAATTAAAAAATGAAATAATAACAATATAACGTATTATAATATAATAATATGAAATTTACGGTTGAAAAGTCAGAAGTCCACTCGATAATCATTTCCAACAAATTATTTCTTAACTTGATCTCCTGTCTGAGACTCACAAACTCCTTTTTGATCATTAAAGTTTCCGTAAGGACGCAAATTTTCCTTTTTATACGTAAAGCTATATTATTAGTGCCCAAACTATTTAAATATCTGGCAAACGAAAGTACCAAGTTGCCAAGATCACAAGTATAAAAATGTTCTGATGAATCATGTATACGATCCAAGATAAGTTTCAACACAATGATGGATTGTTCCACCATGACCGTGTTCTTGGGAGATGAGATTACTTGACCATTTGAAAAAAAATCCTTTACTAGTGTTTCCAGATATCGAAACAGTATCACAAACAATCTTGGACTCAACTCATTCCCTAACGTTTCTCTGATTATTTCACCGATAAACACTCTTTCATTTGTTAATAAATCGACCATCTCATGTATAAATTTCTCGACCATAGTATGATAATCTGTTGGTTGTGGCATTGATAATCTATTATCGACGTATTCGTTGGCACTATTTAATATTTTATCATCTACACAACATCCTCCTAATGATGTTAAAAAACCTGTGTAATTCTGCCATTCGGTAAGTTGATTGTCAGGGATTGAAAATGAAGAACTATGAGACACAGGTAGTTTATGCGGAATAGGGATTGTAGCTCGACCCCTGCCAATGAATCTTCTGATTCTATCCGGAGATTCAATGAATTGATCATCGGGGGTTCTTGAGAATTGGGTAATCGATTGTCTCCATCTTCGCCAAGCTTCTTCCCATGCACCAAGATTACCTGGAGTGGGTTTAGTCATCATACGCAACAATTTACGTATGCGACGTTGTTGGGCTACCTTTCCATGAAACATATCTGCGGTTTCTGATAATTCGTTATAGACATTCATATTCTCTACAATTGTCATATGATATGGTATGATATCGTTTGCCTCTTCAATATCATGACTTAATATTGCACCTGACAGATTAGCTTCTTGGCATAATTGACTAAAACAATTTATTGCCATTGTGCAGATATCAATGTCGGAAGAGCATAATAAAACTAACAATGCTATCTCAAGTGCTATATTGGATGAAAGACGATCCTGTGCATAAGATTTTAATGAGCTTTTATCCTATTAAAAGGAAAATAAAAAGAACATTTACTTTGTTAGAGACACGGACATTTAATAAACAATTAAATATTTATTAACTTGATAAATTTACCTGATGCTTTTTTAAGAATTCATTACGAGAAGTTAATAATTTTAATAATCTTTCCAACATACTTCTTGTACACTCTTCGTTTTCATTACATTCTAACAATTGCTTTGCCATAGAATGCGTGATGTGTGAACTATTGTTAAATATTTGGTAATATTATTAGTAAAATATTATATAATCAAAAATCGGTATTATTGGTAAAAACATTATGATAATGATCAAAATATTATACGATTAATAAAATACAAATATCCGTGATATAGAAAAATAAATTATTTTACCTAATTTGCCAAAATTGTTGCATATCATTGTTTATTATTCCCCATTTTTCAATCAATTCCACATTATGAAGAGCCAATAAAGCCTCAGAAGAAGTAGCTTTTATTGTATGGACATCACTGTTCATGCATTCTGAAATTGCAAATATCATTTTTTGGTTTTCTCTTACATGACCATCAGAATCATTAACGGCTATTGCAAGTATTGGATCAGTTTTGTATAATTTCAAAATATTTATTATAATCTCAGACCTGGTCCATCTTCTGCCGCCGGATTCGGTCGGCCTTGTATCTCTTTTGTATATCATATCTATGAATAGTTTCCGAAGTGGTTTAGCAAGTATTGAGTACATTGTACGAATCTGTGGAACCCATGGAAGCGGTGAGGTTGATTTTTCCTTTAATTTTTTGAAAGGGTTGAGAAGGAAAAAAAGGGAAAGAAAATCATTATAAATATTTTTTTAAAAAATTATTCATTATACAATATGCATACACATATTTATTTATTTACCTCTAAAGCAATACCATAACAACTTTTAACGAGGACTGATTTGAAGGCAATAGGAGCATCATCTTGAAGACAAATCTTAACCAAAGAGCCCAATGTTTGTTGGGGATTTAATCTGAATAAAGCTAATAAACAGTCGGACATTAATCTTTGGTCTATATTCTGTTCACTTGGGAATGGTCTAACCGGATCAAATAATTTTTTCTAGATATAAATTGAGGAAAATTAAACTATTAATTATTTGTATTTTTTGTTATAATTTAATAATTGTTTGATATTTAATCAACAATCGATTACCTGTAAATCTTCTCGAATATCGGTAAGAAATGGAGTAAAAACTGACGAGTCACTTTTTGCTAGATAAACTGATGCATTACAAAAATCTACATAACATTTAGCTGCCACCTCAGGTAATTTGTTGTTATTTCTCAAAGATCTCTTTAAAAGGTCTAAAAATAGAACCTAAAAATCATAGATACATGAAAATTAAACGTTAATTGTAGCAAGAATCATTATTACTATAATTAGACAATAATGAATAATAATAAGACCAGTCAATAATGATGATTAATAATTACTTTTGGAGAGTCTTTATCGTAAGTTTTGTTTGCAATTTTATTTAAGATATCAGGACAAATAATTAATAAGACTGTTTGTAGTGGCCATAATACAAGTTTACGATGAGGCTGATCGGCTGAATTATAGCAATTATCGAATAACACATCCGGTTTTCCTCCCATTCTTGATTTTGATTGACATAATAAGACAAATTCATCGGGGAAAACTTCAATCCAGCTCCATATCGCGTAACGTAAGAACTTTGCTGTGTCCAGTTGAGCAACTTTTCTGAGTCTAGGAAAAAAAATACAAACCACATTTAATATCTCTTCCAATCTTTCTTTGTTAAAATCAGAACACTCGAGCAGTCGCAATTCAGAAGTATCGGGAAATTCATCATTTGTTGCAGAAATTTGATTGATTTTATTTCTTATTCTCTTAAACACAACGTTCCAATTTGAAGCACTAATATAAAATATAACATGACCAGCAATTTTATAGATTTCATTTAGCAATTCGTGTGTTGATGGTGATTGTTGATTAGATGGAGGCAAACCTCCACTCGGTAATGTTTGCACTCCGGCATTATCGTCTTGTAGTGATTTTTGACGAAGGAATCTAGACAAAATATGTAAAATGAAGTTTGCCAATTCTGGTTTTAATGGTGGTGGATTATCAGATTGTCTATTTTTAGGATTTTTTGATTCTGGACTTGAATTTACATTATTTTGATGGTTTTGAGAATTTGGAATAGCAGTGGAAATGGTTGTTTCACCTCCACCACCTCCATTAACAATTGTGGAAGAATAGTCAATTGGGGATGATGATGGCGATGATGACGATGATGGTAAAATAGTAGCGGAAGGGGATTTTGAAACGGTGGTTGATGTGAAATTAGAATTAGCAGTAGAAATTATTGTTGTTTCAACTGTTGATGAATTTGATTGCTGTGATGAATTTCCACCGATATTATTATTATCATCATTATTAGATATTTGTAAACTTTCATTTATTATTTCTTTTTGAGATTCACGATGAATTTTATGATTTTTCCAATGGTTACTCATACACGCTGAAAGTATTTTCAATAAGAATAATTGCATCTGCAATTTTTCTGGAGCAACAAAATCTATTAAAACATTTGAACTTTCCAGATCCTATTATTAGATTGAAAAAATTGATTGATGGATAGATGGGATTAGAACTAATTTTGATTTTAATAATTTGATTATCTCGATTGTTACCTCTGTGACACTTTCTAATAATTTTGTTAAAGAACTAGCGATTGTGCCAAGCCTTAAGGTAGACATATTCACAATAGCAGTAACAGTTGCCTGAACTATTGGATCAGTCTCGATGGTTTCTAATTTTCTATATTTAGTTGGTAACTATTAAAAAATTGAGAATAGAGTTAACAGGTAATTACTATGAGGTTACTTGGGAAATTGGAAATCAATCACTTTGATAGAATATGATTGGAGATTAGTTGAACATACATTTACTTTAATACGATCAATGTAAGATTGTATTAATTCTGCGTCGTTATTCATCTTTAGTTGTGACATTGTAATAAAAGCAAGGCATTAAAAAGAAAGTGATAAGTTTATTTATTATTTTATAAAATGAAAAAAAAAATAGATATATAATAAAATAAAACTAATAAACAAAGAATGCTTGAAGGGAAAATGTAATGCTTTAATAACAGAATAGTGTGTGGAAGAATTTGTGTGAAATGAAAGAAAATAATTTTTGTAAAAAAAAAAAAAAAAAAAGAATGAGAAAAATATTTTAATTTTAATTTTAATTTTAATTTTTAAAATTCTAAATTTTTATATATAAAAATAATATATTTTAATTAAAAGGAGATAGATAATGAATGATAAAATTAAAATTTGGTGGGTTTTTTTTGTATTAGTAACGAAGTATGTTGGTAAAAATGGCAAAAATAAACAAATTGTGTTAAATTGCTAAATTTTTATTTATTGTTTATATTTTGTTTTTTCAAGGTAACACAACAATGGGCGACGATCCTGAAAATAGCCTATTACTAATATGGTATTTTCTCTTTGCTTTTTTGACCAACAATAAAGCAATAAAATACGGTGCATGGTAAGTATACACAAAAGCAATTCATTCTCTTTAGCGACATAACCATTTTCCCCATAAACCCTTGGCATTTTGTGTGAAAGGAAGGTCGTTTACTAGCTGTTATGAGCCGGGCCATCAAGAGTTTAATCTTACCCTAAATTGGAAAGAACCTGCAAATTCATTATCAACCATTCATACATCATCCCGCACCTAAATTGTCAATAGGCTGATTAGGCTTCTCTCACTTTTTAAATACTTTTGGCTTTAAAACTACCCAAAATGCACTTGATTGCAACCTGTACATGCGATTGAGATTTCCCAGTGCGCCATTGGTCTGTATCTTTTAGTTCTTCCCTATTTTATAAAATAGTTATCTGATTCCTTGTCATCCACTACATAGTCAAACCCGTTAAGCCGAAGACATTGTGCAACCATTTTTATTTGGATTAACGGGGTCTCTGGATTCATGCACGGGGCATCCCAAAAACCTGAAGATCAAATGTAATTTAAAAATTGGATTAACGGGGTAAATTTAATAAATAAGTTTATTATTATTAACAGAGTTTTCGAATGACGGGGTTCGGATTGATTAGCGGGGTTTACTGTTACTATATACACAATAATTTTAAAGGCGGTCACCTAATCTTTGACGAGCCATCTTTGTCATTAACCAAAATTTCTGATCTTAATGATCGTTTTGATAGTACTAGACTTACGTCGATATAATCAATAATAATAAAGAAAAGTGTCATTTATTGATGACTTTGTAAAGAAAATCTTTGGATTAATAATATACCAATGACTCGAACGAATGCATGATTTGCCTATTAAGAGGCTACTATCACGAGTATCTTAATAAAGAATGAAAATAATTTGAAAATTAAACGTTAATTGTAGCAAGAATCATTATTACTATAATTAGACAATAATGAATAATAATAAGACCAGTCAATAATGATGATTAATAATTACTTTTGGAGAGTCTTTATCGTAAGTTTTGTTTGCAATTTTATTTAAGATATCAGGACAAATAATTAATAAGACTGTTTGTAGTGGCCATAATACAAGTTTACGATGAGGCTGATCGGCTGAATTATAGCAATTGAAAATTAAACGTTAATTGTAGCAAGAATCATTATTACTATAATTAGACAATAATGAATAATAATAAGACCAGTCAATAATGATGATTAATAATTACTTTTGGAGAGTCTTTATCGTAAGTTTTGTTTGCAATTTTATTTAAGATATCAGGACAAATAATTAATAAGACTGTTTGTAGTGGCCATAATACAAGTTTACGATGAGGCTGATCGGCTGAATTATAGCAATTATCGAATAACACATCCGGTTTTCCTCCCATTCTTGATTTTGATTGACATAATAAGACAAATTCATCGGGGAAAACTTCAATCCAGCTCCATATCGCGTAACGTAAGAACTTTGCTGTGTCCAGTTGAGCAACTTTTCTGAGTCTAGGAAAAAAAATACAAACCACATTTAATATCTCTTCCAATCTTTCTTTGTTAAAATCAGAACACTCGAGCAGTCGCAATTCAGAAGTATCGGGAAATTCATCATTTGTTGCAGAAATTTGATTGATTTTATTTCTTATTCTCTTAAACACAACGTTCCAATTTGAAGCACTAATATAAAATATAACATGACCAGCAATTTTATAGATTTCATTTAGCAATTCGTGTGTTGATGGTGATTGTTGATTAGATGGAGGCAAACCTCCACTCGGTAATGTTTGCACTCCGGCATTATCGTCTTGTAGTGATTTTTGACGAAGGAATCTAGACAAAATATGTAAAATGAAGTTTGCCAATTCTGGTTTTAATGGTGGTGGATTATCAGATTGTCTATTTTTAGGATTTTTTGATTCTGGACTTGAATTTACATTATTTTGATGGTTTTGAGAATTTGGAATAGCAGTGGAAATGGTTGTTTCACCTCCACCACCTCCATTAACAATTGTGGAAGAATAGTCAATTGGGGATGATGATGGCGATGATGACGATGATGGTAAAATAGTAGCGGAAGGGGATTTTGAAACGGTGGTTGATGTGAAATTAGAATTAGCAGTAGAAATTATTGTTGTTTCAACTGTTGATGAATTTGATTGCTGTGATGAATTTCCACCGATATTATTATTATCATCATTATTAGATATTTGTAAACTTTCATTTATTATTTCTTTTTGAGATTCACGATGAATTTTATGATTTTTCCAATGGTTACTCATACACGCTGAAAGTATTTTCAATAAGAATAATTGCATCTGCAATTTTTCTGGAGCAACAAAATCTATTAAAACATTTGAACTTTCCAGATCCTATTATTAGATTGAAAAAATTGATTGATGGATAGATGGGATTAGAACTAATTTTGATTTTAATAATTTGATTATCTCGATTGTTACCTCTGTGACACTTTCTAATAATTTTGTTAAAGAACTAGCGATTGTGCCAAGCCTTAAGGTAGACATATTCACAATAGCAGTAACAGTTGCCTGAACTATTGGATCAGTCTCGATGGTTTCTAATTTTCTATATTTAGTTGGTAACTATTAAAAAATTGAGAATAGAGTTAACAGGTAATTACTATGAGGTTACTTGGGAAATTGGAAATCAATCACTTTGATAGAATATGATTGGAGATTAGTTGAACATACATTTACTTTAATACGATCAATGTAAGATTGTATTAATTCTGCGTCGTTATTCATCTTTAGTTGTGACATTGTAATAAAAGCAAGGCATTAAAAAGAAAGTGATAAGTTTATTTATTATTTTATAAAATGAAAAAAAAAATAGATATATAATAAAATAAAACTAATAAACAAAGAATGCTTGAAGGGAAAATGTAATGCTTTAATAACAGAATAGTGTGTGGAAGAATTTGTGTGAAATGAAAGAAAATAATTTTTGTAAAAAAAAAAAAAAAAAAAGAATGAGAAAAATATTTTAATTTTAATTTTAATTTTAATTTTTAAAATTCTAAATTTTTATATATAAAAATAATATATTTTAATTAAAAGGAGATAGATAATGAATGATAAAATTAAAATTTGGTGGGTTTTTTTTGTATTAGTAACGAAGTATGTTGGTAAAAATGGCAAAAATAAACAAATTGTGTTAAATTGCTAAATTTTTATTTATTGTTTATATTTTGTTTTTTCAAGGTAACACAACAATGGGCGACGATCCTGAAAATAGCCTATTACTAATATGGTATTTTCTCTTTGCTTTTTTGACCAACAATAAAGCAATAAAATACGGTGCATGGTAAGTATACACAAAAGCAATTCATTCTCTTTAGCGACATAACCATTTTCCCCATAAACCCTTGGCATTTTGTGTGAAAGGAAGGTCGTTTACTAGCTGTTATGAGCCGGGCCATCAAGAGTTTAATCTTACCCTAAATTGGAAAGAACCTGCAAATTCATTATCAACCATTCATACATCATCCCGCACCTAAATTGTCAATAGGCTGATTAGGCTTCTCTCACTTTTTAAATACTTTTGGCTTTAAAACTACCCAAAATGCACTTGATTGCAACCTGTACATGCGATTGAGATTTCCCAGTGCGCCATTGGTCTGTATCTTTTAGTTCTTCCCTATTTTATAAAATAGTTATCTGATTCCTTGTCATCCACTACATAGTCAAACCCGTTAAGCCGAAGACATTGTGCAACCATTTTTATTTGGATTAACGGGGTCTCTGGATTCATGCACGGGGCATCCCAAAAACCTGAAGATCAAATGTAATTTAAAAATTGGATTAACGGGGTAAATTTAATAAATAAGTTTATTATTATTAACAGAGTTTTCGAATGACGGGGTTCGGATTGATTAGCGGGGTTTACTGTTACTATATACACAATAATTTTAAAGGCGGTCACCTAATCTTTGACGAGCCATCTTTGTCATTAACCAAAATTTCTGATCTTAATGATCGTTTTGATAGTACTAGACTTACGTCGATATAATCAATAATAATAAAGAAAAGTGTCATTTATTGATGACTTTGTAAAGAAAATCTTTGGATTAATAATATACCAATGACTCGAACGAATGCATGATTTGCCTATTAAGAGGCTACTATCACGAGTATCTTAATAAAGAATGAAAATAATTCGTTTGTGTTATATTTACTAAATAATATAATAATAATTAATATGATTTGTGCGATTCTATAAGAAGACCTTATGTGTAGTGTATTTTTAAGATAAAACTATTAATTGAACCTATAAGAGTATATTTATTTAGATTGAATCTCAAATTATATTGGAGATAAAATTACCCCGACCTTGTGGATGTCAATGACAAGAAAGACATCAGCAACACCTAAAAAGGTTGGTTTCTAATTGTTAAAAAAAATAATATTAATGACTAACATTAATGTCGTATATTTTGTATATTAATACGTATGGTATATTTATTTATGCACCGTTTTATTGCAAGAAATTTTAAATGTCCATCTATTTGATATCATTTAACATAGATTTGATAAATGCTTAAATCTTCTTGCAGTACAAATTGTCCATTATAAAAAAAATGAGACCATCTTGATTATTTTTATAGGACGTGAAATATTGTTCTTTGTGATTCAGATGGTTTCTTTTTTGTTGGTACCCTCAAACAAGAGTCTGTTTTCGTATGTCATTTTCAAGTTTTCTTTGTTTAATATATACTTGATACTAACCTTCCAAAATTGGGAAATGCATACTAGAATCCAATTTTATATTAGCTTCGACATCAGCTCCTCGTTTTCACCCTCCTCCTCCTCCTCTCCTCAACAACATCACTCACTATCTTCAGGAATGTTCTCTAAAAATGTGGTGGTTGATATAAATTCGCTTTCGCTTTCAAAATAACTTGGAAAGTCAAATTAACAAAGTTTTTTCAAGGGGCTAAAATTTATTAAAAATAAAAAATTTTATTCCATATGAAAAATAATGAAAATAATTAACAACAATTCACCCAATTCTCCAACTTTAACCTTATCAAATATTTATTATTATTATCATTGTAATTAATAAACAATAATGTTTAAATTAATAGATTTCAATTAATTAACCTATTAAAATTATATTTCGTAATTTAATAAGCTATCATTACTTAAATTTGATTTAGCAAATTCATCATTTACATCATTTAATATTCGACTTGTATGATATGCTAATGGATGTGATTTGTGAATTTGTTGTGAATTACTATTGTTATTACTACCACCACCAATATTACCACTACTTTCATTAAGACTTACAGTTTTAAATTTATGTTGTGCAAATTCAAAAAGCTCTCTAATAGTTGGTCTCTTGGCTGTATCTGCATCCCAACACCTTTGCATCATCTGTACATAATCATTGGGCATTCCTGGTAATATTGGTGGTCGTAAACCTTCACATATTTTTAATTGCAAATGAACATCATGTGCTCTATCATCAAATGGTGGATGACCTGCAAATATTTCCCACATTAACATCCCAACACTATAAATATCTGTTTCTTTTGTGT